GGCTTTGGAGCATCAAAGGGTGCTCCAGGTGGAGGATTTGGTGCATCGAAGGGTCCTGGAGGAGGCTTTGGAGCATCAAAGGGTGCTCCAGGTGGAGGATTTGGTGCATCCAATGCTCCTGGAGGTGGCTTTGGAGCATCCAAAGGTGTCCCAGTCGGAGGATTTGGTGCATCAAAGGGTGCTCCAGGTGGTGGATTTGGTGCATCTAAGGTTCCTCAAGGTGGTGGAGTTGGAGGTCCCAAGGCCCCTGGAGGTGATTTTGGTACATCAAAAGGTATTCCAGGTGGTGGGTTTGGGGCGCCTGGTGCTCCAGGTGCGAATGGCTTTGGAAGAACTCAGAATAATCAAGGTTTTGGTTCGTCTCAATCGTCTTCTGCCACTCCTTTCGGGCCTCGTGGGGGTGCCATCCAAGGTCGTCCGTCCACACCAATGGCAGATAGTGGATTTGGTATAGATAATCTCAAAGAACGCGTTGAAACTCAAAGTTCCCCTTCGTTTGGGCAGAATTTAGGGCGAAATCCACGACAGGGACAACAAAGTTCCGCACAGGGGCAAGGATTAAAAAATGGATCTTCTCAGTCGGGCAACTTTAATTCTGGCTCGCGGCAAGGTGAAATTAGAATCGACACAAGCGCAGAAGCTGAAAGAGTTAGAGGTGATGAGAGAGCACGTCGTTTGGAACAAGCCCGAATGGTGGGCATTGAACAAGATCGAATCGAAGAGCAGCGAAGACGAAAGGCAGAGGAAACACGGCTACAACAGCAGCGTCTTCAATCGGAGGCTCGCGCACGCATGGAAGCGGAAAAAATTATGTCGGATGGGAAGAAATATGAAGCAGTCAAGAGAGCAATCGCTGCCAGCGACGACAACTATGTCCCTCCACAAACCGTGTTAGATTCAAGAAGCCCGGATCCCCTTCTGGAGCAAGTGGACGGACCTTCGTTGTTGAAATATGAAGGGAAGGAGATGACGTATAACGGAAGAAGTACGAAAGTGTATGGTGGGAGTACATTGGATGTTCCAATTAGAGTTACAGCCCCTGGCTCTGTCGTAGAATACACCATCGAAAAAAAATCTTACGATTTCGGATTAGGAATTATTGCAAAGTTAGACCAAGGTGGGACTACGATAGTTAAGGTACGGAACTGAAGACACTTGCTGAACTTTATATTTGTGTTTTGTTGACTCTAACACTAATCTCTTAATTCATGCGATCTTGACTTTACGGAAAGCCCATGACACCGTTCGATGGCAAAGATGTTGTAGCAGATCGTCCGAGACAGAAGACTCAATCTGATCAAGTTTTAGTTGGTGCCGGAAGTGTACCTTGTACGCTAAACTTCAAGTTTGAGAATAAATTCTCTTGGATTACTGAAGTTACATACAAGATTCGTGTCATCCCTCCCTCAACTGAATTGCTTTTGTCTGGGCGTAGACGTCGTGCTACCGCATGCATGCAGGCGCTCGACAATGATATAGGCGAAACAAATATGAAACTGAATGAATTGTATAGCGAAGGTAACATTTTGCAGAATGAAGTTGATGCTTTAACTCAACAAGTCCAATATATGGAGAGCAATCTCCAAGAAGCCAGAGATGAAGAATGGAACATCCGGAATACAGAAGACGAAGCAATCGATAGTAGTAGCGTTGCTACCAGTAATAACCGATTTCTGTTTTGAACATCGCAATAATCATTTGGTTTTGAGAAACTTTATAACCAGTGAAAATGTCAACCAACTTGCTTCAGAATTGTCATGCGATGTTTCTCTGGTGCCAGGTGCTCATATGTTTATTTTATTCTTCGTGTACAAGTAAGAGAAACCTAAAGAAAAAAAGAAAATTATCAATTTCCACATAAACCATAACTACCTGTAGAGTAGGACTGCCAAATACTCCAAGTATTTGTCAAATGCTACACGTACTGTAATGACGTAAGAAGCCGGAAACCGTTTCGAGGCACACTATTCAAAACCACCATTTTAAGCAGTAACGGACGTATTTTTGCAAACTGATAAATTCATGCTTCTCAATAAAAAAATAAGAATTCTTGAGCATGGACCAACATTATCTGAATTGAATTATATTCTGTTTTATATCTGATTTATCTCCTCACTATTCTTGTTGCTCGTGAAACGATAGATCAATCCTTACAAACCATCTCGTTCACTCAATGGGTTTGCCTTATCATCGGGGCCGACATTGTAATTATTGTCGGAGGAGAATCCTGTAGCAGCAAACGGTTTGGGTGCAGATGCTGCCCCATAGTTTTGACGCTTATTCGATTCTGCCTGTATTTCACCAGGTACATCGGGTGAAACAGGTTGATTCGAGGCTTCCCCGAATGAAAATGAACTTGTACTTGCTTGGTCAACTTTGCCTCCTGATGACGATGGTTTAGTATCTGGGGCTCCAAAAGAAAAACTCGATGGATCTACGATAGGTCCATCATATGATTTCGCAATTGGCTTTCGACCGTAGGGTGAAAAGGACTTCTTGACCGTTTGCGCCTGAGAATTATTTTTTGAAGGCGAAGATGCTCCGGGGGAAAATGTCTTCAGATTTGAGTCAGAAGATGTGGTTGTTCGTTTGGGGTTGGTTCCATAGGGTGAAAAAGACTTCTTGCTTCCTTCCTTTTTGGTAGGACTCGGTTGAGCTGATACTCCGACAGACGAATTCGGTAGATTTAAGTCAGTACCTGAGGATTCTCTTTTCCCCTCGTTTTTGTAGCTGTTTTTTGATTGAACACCGTCAAGGGACGCGTATACATCGTCGAGTGATCCATTGTCTTTTCCTTTGGAAGTTGGAGGCAGATATACTGGACCACTTGAAGAAAAAGAGGGCATTGCTTTTTTCGTAGCTTGACTATTTTGACCGAAAGGCGAAAATGGCTTCTTTGTCTCACCATTCGAAGGACCTTGCTTGGATGGCACGCCAAATGGAGAGCTTGTCTTGGTTGGTGGAGTTCCTACTGACTTCTGCGGTGGAGCTCCAAAGGGATTTGATGAACCTGCTTTTTGTACTGGGTTGCCAAATGGAGAGCTTGCTTTTTTGCTAGGAC